CGGTTTAGTCGAGCGCGGTTTAGTCGAGCGCAGTTTTGTGGTGGAACCATGTCTGGGTGGGTGGGCGGAGCCTCGTAATGCCGCCACTACCATAAATATTTATTTTTACTCCCAGGAACTTTTCACTCAGGTATCATCAGGATTTACACTGATCTGGAACAGCCACTGGGGCAGAATTCACATGATGACCCTCCATCTGAGAATTAAAATTGGGTGGGGGTCTCTGAGCATGGAGGGGTCTTCTCACATTCCTTTGTTGTAATTTTTCTTTTTTCTCCTCTCTAAATCTTCAGTTCTCCCTATTCATTAACAAGGGCTAGTAAAGAATAACAAGGATATCTGGGTTCAGGTGATGATTGTAGCAACTTATGATCAGAAATCCATTCCCATTTATGGTCAGAAATCAAAGACTTCCAGTTCTCTGCCAACACACATATAACTCAGTTCCTGGTGAATTATAACATGTGACGTTAAAGAAAACATATTTTCCACATTGTTCACGACTAAACAGGTTTATCTCTGTTACGGACTTTCGGGTGCATTTTTAACTTTGATTTGCAATGAAATGGTTTCTCACACTCTGCACACTTGTAAGGCCACTCTCCTGTGTGACTTCTGGTGTCCATGCGCAGTGCTGAAGGTTAGGCAAAACACTTTCCACACTCCAGACATTTCTATGGTTTTCTCTAGCCGTGGATTTGCTGTTGCGTCTCAAGAGTATCATTCCGATGATAGCAATATATATTTATATAAATATATGTGATGCAAAATAGATAATTTGATATGAATCAAAGGTGATGACTGTGGAAAGGATGCACGAAAGTTCTTTGTAACCAATTGACACACTTTCTACAATTTGTAATGGAGGATGATTTTGTTATTCAAAAAATAAAATAAAAAATGAAAAAAAAGAGTATCATTCTGAGAAAAGCATTTATTTCCTTCTCAGCATTTATGGGGTTTCTCTCCTGTATGGATTCGGCTATGATTTATAAGAGGAGATGACTTAGTAAAAGCTTTCCCACAGTCTAAACATTTGTAGTTTTTTTTTCCTGTGTGAGTTTTCACATGACTTCTAAGGGCTGATGAGCTACTATAAAATCTTTCACATTCGTTGCATTGATGTTGTTTCTCCCCTGTGTGGGCTTTATGGTGGCTGCAAATGGCCCCCTTTTGAGCAAAAGATTTCCCACATTCTATGCATCTGTAGGGTTTCTCTCCTGTGTGGACCCTCTGATGGCTTCCAAGGTGGTTTTTTCTGGAGAAGCATTTCCCACATTCCCCACACTTGTACGGCTTCTCCCCTGTGTGGATTCTCTGATGAATCTGAAGCTGTCCTGGCTTAATAAAACTTTTTCCACACTCCCCACATTGATACGGTTTCTCCTCTTTGTGCATCTTCTGGTGTCTCCGAAGTTCATAAGAAGACACAAATCGTTTCTCACATTCTGGGCATTCATAGGGTCTCTCTCCAGTGTGACGTCTCTGATGTTGCACCAGACCTGATTTCAAGGTAAAACATTTCCCACATTCGAGACACTTTTCGTTTTTCTCCCCTCTGTGTGTTTTCTGATGAGTCTGAAGACCTGAACTCTGGGTGAAACATTTCCCACACTCAAAGCATTTGTATAGTTTGATTCCTGCATGAGTCTTCTCATGGGACCAAAGACCTGAGTTCTGAGAAAAGCTCTTCCCACATTCCCAACACTTGTAAGGTTTCTCCCCTGTGTGGATTCTCTCATGGCCTCTGAGAGTGGCTTTATCACGGAAACAATTCCCACATTCCAGACATTGATAAGGTTTCTGTCCAGTGTGGATTCTCTGATGTCTAAGAAGGCTTGACTTTTGACTAAAGCATAAGTCACATTCCACACATTTATAGGGGTTTAGTCTTGAGGGGATTCTGAGATCCTTGGAGTTTTTCCCAGAGAAAGATTTCTCACCCTCCAAACCTTGACTGGATCCACTTCCCACATGGACCTTCCTGTGGGTCAAAAGGAGAGACTGGAGAGCAAAGGATTTCCCACACTCTAAGCATTCATGGGATTTTTTGTCTTTTGGTGGAGAGCTGCTTGTGTTTGGCGAATGGTGAAAG